TAAAATTTTCGACTTTTTGTAAGAGGTTGCGAATTTTTGTCTTCCTTTCTTAGTTCCGATGCAAGCAACCGAGGTGGGAAAGATTGGCATGCCTGCTCCCAATTTGTAGCTGTAATTTCACGAGCACTGCAAGCTCTCACTAGAACTGAGTGATCTTGTTAATGAAAATCTTATCATTTTTAGGACAAAAAAAAATTGTCGTGCGCTTCAGAAAAGAGGGTTTCCGCATCCTATTACTTTGTCTTACCCGACGTAAAACCTTCTTTCCCTTTCCTGACCCCTCCTCTACATATCCGCTTTCTCCCCTCCGCTCTGCCGCTCCCCCTTCGGTTCCTATCCATTCTTCCTGAACTAAGCAGGATTTGAGCATTTTCAACGCAATTAGATGTCGGGGTTGTAAGAAAGCGCATTTTTTTCATTCGTATTTGTGTGTTTTTTTGCTTTACAGAACAAAAGTCATCTCTGCTCGTTCTTACTATCGTTCCAAATTATGACAAGTGCATTTTTTTTCCAATAATTTTGAAAAAATTTCAGAGTGATCAGCGAGTAAGCAAAAATAATTGGAAGTTTTTGTTTTCCAGTCAAGAAACACCTAGCAATTAGAATCGCAGCAGCAAGAGAAGTTTTAGTAAAGGGTATCAAAAAAATCACTGCATTCGAAATGTTTTTTTTTACCATGTAGAAAATATTGTGATTTTTTTCCATCATATTTTTTTTCAATAAAAACTGCGTAGCTCCTTGTTTGCTCATACACGCGGAATTTTGTGTTTTTTTTTTTTTACAGAACCTGGCTTCGACTCTTCTCCTTTTCATCGAGTTTCTCATCTTTAGAAGGTATCCATAAAGTTTTTCAATTATCTCTATTACTGAAATTTCCTCAATTTGGAATCGTTGAGGACGGAAATAACGGCTTGAGAGGTTGTAAAGAACTGGAATGAGCAGCACAAGCATAAAATTTAACTGGAGATATATGGCTCAAGATATGAGAGTAAGTATAATTGCGTAAGTTATAGAATGCTTTCGGAAAAAACGCTGATTAAAACAAGCTGTCGCTTACTAATTTTCCCTTACTATGCTTGGCATCACGCTTAAGCGATAAGTCTCATGAAAGTGTGTAAATTTCACACTAGATTTCTCAGTTATGGATTATTTTGGAAAAGCTGTATAAATAAGGGAAGTACGGATAAGAGTGGCTTCGTACTGCAGGTCGAAGGCTCGGCTATGCCAGTGGGGAAACCAGTCCCTGTATAAGTAGCTCATTCGTTTTGACAGCAAACTGGTACTAGTGCATGCTAAGGTGTTAAACATGTAGTTCGCTTTTAAACACCACGGAGGAGAGAAC